TATATATATATATATATATATATATATATATATATATATATATATATATATATATATGACAAAATATAAATTAAAAAAATAAAATCTTTATTGAATTACTTCCCCTTGTTGTCGGATTACTAGAAGAAAAAGAACAAAAAGAAATAAATAAAAAAAATAGATTTTATTAATTGGATAAAAGAAAAATAAAAAAAGAAGTGGAAAAATCCAATTGGAAGCACCGACAAGAGTCCTGATTTGATGGGAAATTATTAGAAATTAAAATAAGAAATAAATTAACAAAAATTTAAATGACCGTTAGAGGGCGAGTTGCCATCGTTTAGCGTACTCGCAGCGCGTAGATTGAAGGGAAACACGACGTGGACAGGACGGCATTAGACTTTTTTTTCCTCCTTTTATTTTACTTTTCGATAAAATATGTTTTTTTTCTCAATTTTCTAAAAGGTTAATTATTTTACTAAAAAAATTATTTTTTTAATTTATAATTTATGCATTTTATAATACAATTAACCCCAATTTTGAAACATTTGAATTTGTTGATGGAATAATATATATTTAATTTTTTTAAAACTTTTTTATTAAATTTTTACGTATAATATATAAATTTGAACATAATTTAATGGATAAACTAACGGTTTACAATTTGAGAAGTAAATTATTTGATATATCGATGGTTTGAAAATGACTTTTGAATATTAAATTTTAAAATAAATAAATAAATAACTAAAATAAATCATATATAAATTGAAAATTTTTAAATTTAAATACTTTTAAAATTCCTTTTATGGTAAGAATTATAATTAAAATTTAAAATTTGAACTCAAATACCATTTTTGGATATTGGTGCCAAAAATAATAATACTTAATAAATGGATATCTCAGTTATTTAAAAACTAAATTAAATTCAACAAAAGTGAAATTAATTTAATAATACTATCCGATTTGTCGTTTCATCTAATGTTTCATTTCCATTCCACTCGCCAGCGCGTGGTCCTTCAACATTCTTCACGCTCTGCAAATCCCCTCTCAATCTCTCTGTTGGGTTTTGCAGGAGAGAGAGAAGGAGAGAGAAAATTTCAGAGGGTTCGGCTAGAGCTTTATTCTCTTGATTATCGCGATCACACGACGGCGATGTGCTCTGTTCGATCCTCTTTTCCACTCTCCTTTCGCCGCTTTTAAGGACTGTTCTGTATATGTTCCTTCTGTTCTGTTTCCTCTTTGATTTTCATTTTTCTTGTTTGTTTGGCTCTGTTTCATTGTGGACCGGCTGTTTCTGTTTCTGAATGGCTTTTGCATGAGAAGGATGAACGAGCGAGTGATGGCTGATTTTGGGGTTTTAGTACTGTCACTTCGTCGTTTTCTATCGCCCTAAGCTTGAAACCCTTCCTGGGATTTTCTTTTTGTTTTGTTCTTTTGTTGCAGGTCCCATTTCTGCATTATTGTACGAGTTTCCATTTCTCTTTAGACTGCTTTTTTTTTTTTTTTTTTTTGGCTTTCGT